GTAGTTCCCCATCAGACTAAGGCATATGATGATAACTGGGTAGGCATAAACTATTTCCAACAAAAGTAGGGAAAGGTGAAGTCCACTATGATGCTGTAGGAAAAGAATCTGTAAAACATTCAGAAGAATACAATTTGAAAATGAAGGGAATAAACAGAATGTGCTCTTCCAAATGACTGTAGAAGTTCTTTTGAAAGAGTAGTCATTACAATGTGAAAGTATGACTTTGAGGGGTTTTAATCATACTGGGAATGGTCAGGACTCAGCCAGCAGAAGGATGCTCCCATAAGCATCTTCTGCAGTAATTGTTATTTTAATTGGCTGAAATAAACCATAATGCCCTCAGGCCAGTGATAAAACTGTATAGGTAGGCAGATTTTCCCTTTAGGAAAAAATCCCACTAAGAAAGCGTGCAGTTTGAATTTTAAAAAAAATAAGAGTATTGTTACTCATTTTATCAACAAAACTGTTTGAAAAACTCTTCCCATGTCCCCTCTATCAGAGGACCACATGTCAGACTTTTGTTTTATTTTCAGACTGAAAATTTTCTTTTAGAGAGAAGTTGCTCTCTAACCAAGAATTTTCTTCAAATTGTCTCCAAACCATTATCTCTGCCTTATCCCTCTTCTTCCTGAGTCTTGGAAACTTAGGGAACTGCTATTTTGTGACAAATTCTAATCAATAAATGGCATGAGTATTTATAAATGTCTGGCAATAAAGATCTTTTCAAAATGAAATAATTTCAGTCCTGCTATATCTGTGTACTAAATCTAAAACCCTGTAGTAATGGTACATAATTTCAGAGATGAAAATGCTATCCACCTCACCACAAGTTTAGAATTAAGAAAATGAGATGCATCAAAAATTTTATGAACTGGTAGAAATAACAGAAGGTACTATTCAAGGAATCCAATTATTTTACTTTGGTACAGGCTGATTTTCAATTTGGGATACAGAGGTAAAGGCCTGTTAGGATTAGAATATGTTAGCTCAGAAAAAAAGAAAGAAAGCTTATATAAGTTGTGGTTGCAGTTAAACTGTACAAAGGATGGAGTAAAAGACTTGATCTGAAATGTAGCAACATTAGTGTCAAAGACTATAATGTACTTGTGATATAAAAGGAGAGGAAGGATACAAAAATAATGATAATGGTATAAATCCTGTGAGTCTGAGAGAAGAACAAAATTGGGAAGGAAAACACTGAAGTGAAAAAGATTAGCCATGTTGAGGCATGATAAGTCAAAGACAAGTTGATCTTTTTCCTTTACAGATGTCCATTTCTAGGCATTTGTGTTTAAGAATAGTTGAAAGCAGTAGAAGCAAAATAGGGTTATATGCACATTATTTAAATTCCTGACGAACTAAAGAGAGTAATATGTGACACAAATATTGCATTGAAAATATAGTATATGTCTGTCAGTTTATAAAATTGTCCATATTTTACAATATATCAATAGACAAAATATTTAAATAATATGATAACATTAGTCAATGAACTGAAACTGCAAGCACCGTTTCTAGATACTGGGAGAATGTAAACAAAAAAGAACTCTGGGTGATCTTCCCTGATCCACCCTAGAAAATTTTAAGCTGTCACCCATGTTGCAACTTTTCAACAATCTGTTGAATTAATGACTTTGGTTTGTGTTTCTCCTCCCACAATTTTTACGGCTGCTTACGCACCCTGAGAGCTGAGCTTTACACCCGTTTGAATCCAATTCCCACTGTTTTTCATGTGTCACAGTTGGATGATTCTGGAGATTAGTAAATTTCCAGGGAAATATCCCAGGAAAGACAACCAAACCAAACAACCACCATAAACCCCTGTAGACAAATTATATGTGGGGGAATCTAAGACACAGACTCAGAAGAAGTACCATTAGAATGGCTTTTCTGTAAGAAACAGAGAAACAAGCATGCAAACCTTCTGTCAGGGAGCATACTATTTCCTCTGTGAAAATGGAAGATAAGAATGACTGAAAATTGTTTATATCCACTTCATTCAAGCCTAAAATGTTTCTGTTTCCTCCTTCACACATTTAATGGTCCCCCTTCTCCAGGAGAACAACCTTCCCATCCATTGAGATTCAGTGAGTAGAGGCACACACAGCTATTTCAAAATGGCTGTCATCAGACTACATTCTTTAAAGTGGATTTCTTTAGAATAAACAATAAGAAATCACCTGTGGAATTTTCAAAAAAAAAAAAAAGCAATACAGTAACTACTGAATTTTCTACTGAATATAATCACTCCAATTTGGAAGAAAGTTAGTAAGATCTATCCCATAATCAAAGTTAATCATATTTTTATGTTTTAGAAATAGGGAAAAAATAAAAAATCTCTTTCCTATAAAGGCCTTTGGAAAAATTCTTAAGAGAAATGCAGGTTTCTGGACCTACCTGTGGTAAGAAAGAGCAGGTTTTCTGATGATTGGAACCAGGACAAGGATATCTGCAGAACAAGGCTTCTTAAAGTGCTTCAAGGTCCCTGTCTGCTATTTTCTTATCTAACATATCTTCACCTCTCAGCCCTTAATGACAGTGTTCTTAGGACCTAAAAAGGGAGAAAAAAAAAGACATTTTTGAAAAGACTGCTGAGTTATAGCAAAGTCACCTTGCACTTGCTTCAGCTGTGGTGTGCTCAGGAATATAAAACAGAAAATTCTTGTTATAACAGTCAACTTGCTGAACACAGAGAAAGGGTGGAAAGGCTAAGACACATTCAAGCAATGTAAAAGGAAAAAAAAAATAATGACTTTCATTGTGCACAAGGCCATTTTGGTTTTGAGAATCATTCGTATCAGGAATGTTGCTGCATTTGCTTGAGGACTGGGCTGGCAGGAGGTGGAGAGGGAATCCTGAGATTGTCATTCAGTATGTCCTTTTGCAATGCCCACTACGTGTAGTCACAATGACCAGCAAGATAGATTTTTGCCTTTCTCAAGTTTACAGTTCAACTGGGTAAAATATAAGCATGTATACATGCAGTTCTAATGCAGTAGGATCAGGGGATGTCAGGTGATATGCATGACTTTGATAAGATCTACACATTCCCTTAACTTGGAAGGTGGCAAGCATATGGGTGAAGGCTGTCACTTCCCAGGAGAAGAGTCATCTGAAGTCAGCTGAAGGGAGTGTGGCTCATCAGAGGAGAACCCTGGAA